GGCTTTTTTAATGTGTGAATATAAATCTTAGTTCTGCATAAATAGATGTCACCTCTATTATCCACAGGTAATTTTGTTAACATAACTATCAGTGGCTCTATTGTGAAAGAAAAACAAGACTGCTGAAGTCTTGTCAGTGCAAATTGTTTTTATTTGGTGATTTGAGGCACTATTGTCCAGTCTTTTAAGTCAGGAAAATGTGACTTTCAGTGGAAACCATGTTAAAACCAATTCTGTTGTCTTTTGTTTGCGTATAAACGTTCAGTTGCTTTAACATGATTGAGCTCAGCACAGAGTGTTCTAATTTCCCAATTTTCAAGGTTGAAATTACTTTCTCTTATTTGCCTTGCTATTATGCAAACAATGGAAATGTTCTTACTGCTATTATGTTCTCAGAGCTCTTAACATCTTTTATTCTTTTTCATTTTGTGTTTTAAGTATTTCATCAATACTTCAGTAATGATATGCTCCCCTATTTTTAGATCAGTAATTTTGCTAACAAGTTACTTTTATTTTGAATGAGCTGTGTCATCACCATGGAAATAGTATTTTGCTAGAAATTCTAGTTAATAAAGCTTAACTATTTAAAGATGTTTCCCATCAGTATCTTGTTAGATAATTTTTAAAGCTAGGATTCTTCTCAGATGTAACTATTATTATCTGTTTGTTATTTATATTTATTGCATAAAGTGCTTTTCTACAGTTCTGCTATATTTACCTTATCATATGGGTGATTTTTGCAAAGTGTAGGTTACATATGGGAAACTCAGAGGAATTTAAAAAGATCACTGATATTCTTGATCTATAATATGAGTGGGTCTATAGGAAAGACAATATTAACAGGTTGAAATATAACAGTATATTCTTTATCATCCTGATCATTTGTTGTAACTCTGTTCTTTAAAATGCCTATTTTGTAACCACCATTTTCTACACTGCAGTGATTTCAAGTGAAAGGATCTGATTCTAAGCAGCTCTGTTCTTTCTATGATAGAATAATCATAATGCCTAAAAACAGTGCCCCTAAAATCAGACAGCTGGGATTTAATCTTGGTTCTGCCACATATTTCTATATAACCTTGGGTAATAAACTACTTCTCTGTGCTTCAGTTTTTTCATCTTTGAAGTAGGAATTTGAACTATGAATCAGGATTATTGTAAAAATCAAGTGACTTAGTATAAAGTGCTAAGAATAGTATCTTGCACATAAAAGACAGCTTTTCTGAATTTTCTCTGATGGACTTTACTTATATAAGAAGACTGCCTCATTGTTTCTGTACTTTAACAGAAAACAGATATGTTGCTCCATTATGGCAGTTAGACATATATATATATATTTCACACTCTTTTATGTCAAAGGAGAAAGTGGCAGGAAATAAGCTATTATAAAAGATTTATTTAGAAAGTTACAGGGTATACTCTAGGTATTGTTAGCCTTGTTTTATGTGGAAATTAAATTGTATTCAGTATACATTTTTTAATTAAGTTTACTGGTACATTTTATATATACATAATGATCACATTCATCATAGGGAATTTGTACCTGTACATGATATATCTCGATTCTTTTTTTTAGCCCATTCCCCTACCCTCCCTTCAACCCCTCTTCCCCTCCTCATGTACAAAATCTTTGTTTCCATTTTTTCCTTCTATTCTCATTTTTTTTCTTTTCCATCCTTTCTTTCCCTCACCTCCCTCCCTAGTTCCTCTACCCATTTGAACATTTTCTTCTGTTTCACAATAACACTTATACATTTTTATCCTCATTTACACTTTTAGTTTCTCACACCAGAGAAATGGTGCAGTATTTACACATGTATGTCCGATTTATTTCACTTAAGAGTATGGTCTCAAGGTGCATCCATTTAATTATAAATGTCTCAAGTTTACGTTTCCTTATGGCTGAGTAGTACTCCATTGTATAAAAAACCCTACATCTTTATCCATTCATCGGTTGGTGGGCACTTGGGCTGTTTCCAAGATTTAGCTATTATGAACTGTGCCGCTATAAACATGGGTGTGCATATATTGCTGTGGTATGATGCCTTTAATTCTTTCGGGAAGATACCCAGCAGGGGAATAGCTGAGTCAGATCGGACCTCTAGTCCTAGTTTTTTGGGGAGTCTCCACAGATTTCCACAGTGGTTGCACCAGTCTGCATGCCAACCAACAGTGAGGAGGGTTCCTCTTTCCCCACATCCTAGCCAGCATTTGTTATTGGTTAACTTCTTGATAGCAGCCATTTTTTCTGGAGTGAGGTGGAATCTCAGTGGGGGTTTTTTGTTTGTTTTGTTTTGGTACCAGGGAACGAACTCAGGACCTTGCGCTTGCGAGGCAGGGGTGGTGCCACTGAGCTAAATACCCTGTGTGTGTTGTTTTAATTTACATCTCTTGAATGACCAGCAGTGTTGAATGTTTTTTCACATTTTATTTGCTGTTTCTGCTTTGCGTCTGAGAATTATCTGTTCATTTCAGATACTCATTTTTTGGATTGGGTTTTTAAATTTGAGGGGTCTGATTTTTTTTGAGTTCTTTGTATATCTAGATAGTCCTTTGTCTGAGGAGCAGCTGGCAAAAAATTTTTTTCCACACTGGGCTGTCTCTTCACTTTGGTTGGTGGTTTCTCATGCTGTGCAAAAGCTTTTTAGTAAGATGAGATCCCAGTTGTTGATTCTTTGTGATAGTTCCTGTGCAGTTGGGTTTTTGTTCATAAAGTCTTTCCCTATACCAGTGTCTTCAAGAGTTCTACCTAATCTGTCTTCCAGCTGATATAGCATTTCTCTTTTAATGTTTAGATCTTTGATCCATTTCAATTTTAGTTTAGTGCATGGTGAAAAATATGGGTCTAGTTTTAATCCTTGGCGTGTGGTAACTCAGTTTTCCCAACACCATTTATTAAAGAGGCTATTTTTCTTCCAGTGAAGATGTTTGGCTCTTTTGTCAAAGATAACATGCTGAGTATGTTTGAAGTTGTTTCTGCATCTTCTAATTTGTTCCATCGATCCTGGATGTCTGTTTTTTTGACAGTACCGTGCTGTCTTTAATCACAGTAGCTTTGTAGTATAATTTCACGTCAGGGATTTTGATGCCCCCTGCCTTGCCTTTGTTGCCTAGAACTGCCTTTGCTATTCTAGGTCTCTTCTGGTACCAAATGAATTTTACGATCTTTTCCTCTAATGCTGTTGGAATTTTGATTGAGATTGCATTAAATCTGTATAATAGTTTTGGAAGTATAGCCATTTGCACTACATTAGTTCTTCCTACCCAAGAACAAAAGATATCTTTCTATTTTCTGATATCCCCTTTGATCTCTTTTTTCAGAGTACTGTAGTTTTCATTTTGTTTGTTTTTTGGTACCGGAGATCCAACTCAGGTTCTTGTGTTTGCGAGGCGGGCGGCGGAACCACTGAGCTAAATCCCCGACCCTAGAGTACTGTAGTTTTCAATGTTGAGGTCTTTACTTCCTTCATTGGACTGATTCCTAGGTATTTCTTTTTTGGGAGGCGGGGGGAATGCTATTTTGAAAAGAAAGGTGTTGTTTCCCTAATTTCTGTCTCAGTGAGTTTGATATTCATGTACAAGAATGCTATTGATTTTTGAGTGCTGACTTTGCACTTCATCTTAGTCAAAAGGAGGAGAAGCGATCTGAGTGTTGACTTTGTATCCAGCTATGCTACTGAATTTGGTTATTAAGTCTAGAAGTCTTTTGCTGGAATTTTGGGGGTCTTCTCTGTATTCAATATATTTAGATTGCCAAGAGCTAGAATATCATTAATTTAAAATGTACCTCAGTGCCTTAGAACTAAGATGTTTCTGTCACAGGCAAACTTAGTAATTTCTCCATGTAGTTTCTTGCTCATCATTCTTTATCTCACTTGTTAATAGCCATTTTTTTTAACTTGCTATTGAATAAAGGTGAACTATAGAATACTCCTGTTACATAGGGAAAAACACAAGTCTAATGCAAGAAGGTGTAGAAAGGAGAGAAAAGATACTTCTGTGTTTGCCTGTTGTATGTTTGGTTTTTTTATCTTTTTTGAGAAAGATTTTTAAAAAATCAAGCATCACGTGAGTAAATTAATCTGAAGTAGAAAAGTTTTAACAAAAACTTTTTACTCATCTTGCTTTTTTTACTCAAAAAGTTTTTACTTATCTTGCTGGCTTTTAGTATTTATGTAAAAGGGAATGCTATAATTACTGTAGCTTCTACTTTAATATTTTAAAAAATATAGTCCATCAATAAAGCAACACCAGAATGTTAAGACTGTCTCAGAGTTTAAATGTTACATTTTTTCCAGACTTACATATTTATATAGAATTACACTTACAGTCCCATCACTTGGGAGGCTGAGGTGGGAGGACTGCAAGTTTGAGACCAGCCTGGCACACAGTGTGAGTTTGAAGCCTGTCTGAGCTACAAAATGAGAACCTGTCGCAAAAAATGAAAAAAAATATATATATATATATTTATGATTATTTCTTTTTTACTAGAAACAACCAGGCACCAAGAAGCTTAGTCAAATAAATTGATAAAGCCAAATAGAGACCTACTGAGTGGCCATGATAAAGATGAGGAAACCATAACTCTACAGATCTAGAAAGCACCCCCCAAAGAATGTATATATATACACACACATTCCCATCTTCATCCATCTTCAAAATTAAAAGAATATGCTTATGCTAGTATAAATATAAAATGCATATAAAGATTTTTCTAAAAGGACACATAAGGGGCCTTATCATGATTTTTTTCTTTATATAATTAAAATATTAATCACATCTAGTTCTGTTAAACTGATAAACTTTATAAGAATGATAAGTACATTTGTATATATATAAAAGCGTGGAGGAATTCCTTTTTAAATTTTAGATCTGTATTTTGTCCTCAGAAATATTAGGAAGGGTAGCCAGAACTGTATGTTGATCATTTTCCATGTAGAAAATGTTATGGCTCTTAAACTCAGAAAATAGTTATTTAAACAGGATTACTTTTTTCATAGGATTTCCACTTAAACAGAGTAAATTTGGAAGAATCTTCAGGAGTGGAAAACTCTCCAGCTGGTGCTAGACCAAAGAGAAAAAACAAGAAGTCTTATGATTTAACTCCAGTTGATAAATTTTGGCAGAAACATAAAGGAAGGTAAATAAGAAAAATATCACTAAGATTTTTCCCTTAAAGAGAAATGAAGATGGTATATAACCTAAATGAATTTGAGAAAAATATCAAAAGGTCATGGTGGTTCATTCTCATAATGAACGGGAGCTATAATTAAATAGCCCATAGATATATATCTTTATTGCTTCATTTATTCCTGTTTCCTGTGGTTTTTGTTAGTAATTATTTTGTAGGGGCCACTTCTCTTTTCAATAAACTCATCCCATTAGATTTTGCAAATTTCACAGATACTCTTTCTGACTACAGTGACCCTTTACAAGACCATCCTTTTCTTTCTTTCTTTTTTTTTTTCTCCCTTGTAGTACTGGGGATTGAACCCAGGGCCTTCACACTGAGCTACATCTCCAGTCCTTTTTTATTTTTTATTTTGAGATAGGCTCACACTAAGTTGCCCAGGCTGGACTCAAACCTGCCGTCCTCCTGCCTCAGCCTCCAAGAGTGCTGGAACCACCATGCCTAGCTTCTACCTTTGTTTAAATGAGTTTTTGTGATAGGGGACTTTGAAATGAGATTTTTCCTTTTTGGTCCATGATTTCCTTCACTAACACATTCACAGCAACGCCGTCGTTCATATGTCTCCCTCTCAGGTAGCTCTGATCTGAATTCGATTTTCCCCACCAGCTTGAACTACCAGTGATGCATGCATGACTGTCCCATTGGGCAGCTTGTACCGCTTCTTGGGTGTCTTTGATTACAGTAACGCAAAAAAAAAGCACTGATTTAGCAGACCATATGTTATCATATATAGTCCCTTAAGAAAAATATTAAAATGGTATAAAAAATTGTAATCTCAGGGGTCTTTGATAACAGTGATGCAAAGAAAGGCATCAATTTAGCAGACTACATGTCATCATACTATAGTTCCTTACATTAAAATGGCATAAAAAATTCTGATACAGCTAATTTGAGGTACAGCTGTTATAAATGCATATTATACACACCAGCAATGGGGTACTTGTAAGATTTCCTTGTTAAAATTTAGAGAATTAATTATGGATAAACTATTCAAAAATATGAATGCATTTCTTTTAATTTAGTGAAATAAATTTGTTGATTATTATAATAATTTAATTGGTATGAATAGTATTAACATTTATATTTGGACAGTATTCAAATCAAAGAACTAACTAGATTTGGTCCATTTATAGACTTTTTGTTAATTTTATTAGTAAAAAGACCATTAAAAGTGATTAGATCTGTTTGTACCACCAGTGGTACAAGCTGCCTGATGGGACAGTCATGCCTGGTGATTCAAGCCGGTGGGAACATGTTAAGCCTCGTATTATATATCTGTAGGTGGAGTGCCCCAAAGACTTATTCAAAGTATGTTAGAAATTATGAGTTAAATAATTGTAGTGATTTGCCATGTGATTTGTTGTAGGCAGATATATATATCCCACGTGTTTTTAAATGTTAGTACTTGATAGGATTGGTAATTGCTATAAAAGTTATCTAGCTATTTGGTTAGAGAAAATATTTCTCAGAGAAATAGAATGCTATTTATCAATTACAGGAATATTAATATTTGAAATAAATATAGATAACAATATAGATCTATTTGCATACTTCATGTAACTGTTGTCTGGGGCCTCGTTTAACTTTTATGTTTAAAGAGAAATAGGATACAAACTTGGCTTAACATGGTGGGGTTTTTTTAAAATAAGTTTTTACTTTCTCTGCAAGGAAAAGGTACTGTCTCTGACTATTTTGAGTACTACTAAAATTTATTTTACTTTCAATAATATTCTTTCCTTTGGAATTCTACAGTCTACATTCCCCTCCAGAATGGTGGAATACAAGAAATTGAAATTCATTGGGGAGACATTATTGTTACAGGATATAGGATGTTTTAAAATTGACATCCCCATCACAGCTGAGACAGAATCTAACTAAAGCCATCTCCATAGTAGTGACCCTAATTGATCTTCAACCTGCAATACAAAAACAATAGAAATATGAGAAAGTAAGGCATCAAGATGCCTCCAAAAAGCTTAACTCCCCAAAAGCTGATCTTGACACTGATGTAGACAAATTACAAAGAATTCAAAAACTAAATGTCCAAAATGTTTGAAGAGATCAAAGAAGAAACACATAAGCAAATTCATAAGATGACTGGTGAGCTTAAAGAGGATTTCATTAGACAAATACAGTATTTTACTAATAAAATATTTGAGCTTAAAAAATCAAGTTAAACAGTATTAAAATGTGTTACATACATGTACCAACTTCCCAAAGAATATAAATAAACGTGTACTAATAAAATTTAAAAATTTTTTTAATTAAAAAATGTGAGTGACCATTTTGGTAAAGAATTAGAAATTGTGAAAGGAAAGCAAGCAAAAATAAAAAATATGAAAAATTTAATAGAAAGCACAGGTATCAGATTTGATGAATATGAAAACAGTCTCAGAAATTGAAAACAAGTTGGAAGTAATAAATCATAAGCTCAGTGAACTCCTAAAAATGACAAGATACCATGATGTCTGGATCCAATAACTGCTATATGACTCAAAAAAAAAAAAAAAAACAAACCCTCAGAATCAGAGGAATAAGGAACCATTAGAAGATGACTCAAAAGGTATAAAAAATGTATTCACTGCAGTCATAGCAGGAAAAATTGCAAATCTAGGGAAACAATTCAGTACTCAAGTACAAGAGGTATATAAGAACCCCAGATAGTCATGGCCAGAAAAAAATCTACCTACCACACCTCATAATCAAAGTTCCAGAAATTGAACAAAAGGAAAGAATACTAAAAACCATTAGGGAAAACAAGTAACCTATGAAGGCAGGCACACCAGAGTAACAGCAGATTTCTCAGCAGACACCTTAAATACCAGGAGAGCTTGGAGTAAAGTGTTTCAAGCTCCAAAAGGAAACAATTGCCAACCCAGACTTCTATAATCCTGCACATTTAGCATTCAGAATTGACAGAGAAGTAAAGACTTTTCACAACAAAGAAATTGTAAAGAAGTACCAGTAAACTAGCATTACAGAAAATACTTCAGGGAATCCTGGACAGAAATGATTCCACCATCTCCAAAGATCCATAAGGAAAATACAGATCTAATTGAAAGAGTAGTTAAATGAAAGGGAAAAAAATCAAGGAATCAGTGCTGGAAAAATAATGCAATGATAAAACTTAATAAATACAACAATAACTCTCAGTATCAATGGTCTTAGGTCTCCAAAAGACAAAGACTAGCAGATTGGATCAAGAAGCAAAATGGAACTATATGTTGCCTATAGGAGACACACTATCCACAGAGAAGCATATAGACAAAGTGAAAGGATGGTTCCATGCAACCAGAGCCCAAAAGCAAGCAGAAATAGCCATAATATTTTCAGACACAGTAGACTTTAAGCCAAAACTGATCAGAAGAGACAAAGATGGCTACTATATACTTGTAAAGGGACCATTTCAGTGGGAAGAGAGAGCAATTTTATATATGCACCAAACGTTGGCACAACCAACTTCATAAAACAAAAACCACAGGACATAAAAAGACACTAAGGCAGTCATAGTGGGGAACTTCAATACTCCATTCTCACAAATAGGTCAACTAGACAAGAAAATCAACAAAGAAATACCAGAGTTAAATGATCCCATTGAATAAGACTTAACAGATAATCTACAGTGTTTCATCCAACAACATAATGGAACTTTTTCCAAATAGACCATATCTTAGATCATAAAGCATGGTTAAATAAATGCAAAAGAACTGAAATAATCCACAGCATGCTATCAGATTATAATGGAAGGAAACCAGAAATCAACCCCAAACATATGGAGATTAAAGAATACATTATTGAATAGTCAGTGGCTCACAGAAGGAATCAAAAGTTCCTAAACTCAAATGACAGTGGAAGCACTGTGTACATACCAAAACCTATGGGACTAAATGAAAGCACTCCTAAGAAGGAAGTTTATAGTGGTGAACCCACACATTAAAAGAACAGAGGTGATGCCAAAAAACACAATGGTGTACCTCAAGGTCCTGGAAAAAAAAATCCAACCCAAAACTAGTAGAAAGAAGTAAAGATTAGAAATTAAAATTGAGACTTAAAAAAACAATACAAAGGATCTGTGAATAATAGAATTGGTTCTTCGAAAGGATAAACAAGATTGGTAAACAATTTTAAATTTAACAAAAGAAAAACCCTTATTAATGCAGATAGAAATGAAAAAGGTAAAATCACTGTGGACACCACTGAAATCCACAGAATTATAAAAATGATTTAGAAAATCATTCCAATAAATTGGAGAACTTATAATAGAGAAATGCCTAGATGCATACGAATCACAAAAATTGCGCTAAGATAACCCTCAACAAGGCAGCGATGGGCAGTGAAATGAAAACAGAAATAGGGGCCAGGAATTTAGCTCAGTGGTTCAAGCACCTGCCTCGCAAGCACAGGGTCTCAAGTTTGATCCCCAGTTTAAAAAAAAACAAAAACCCTACCAAGAAAAGCCTAGGACCTAATGGATTCACTGTATAATCCTACCAGAACTTCAGGGAAGATCCAACACCAATACTCCTTAAACTTTTCCATGATATTGAAAGGGATGGAGCACAACCAAACTCATTCCTGGAGGCTAGCATTACCCTGATAACCAAATCCTACACAAGGACTTAATAAAAGAAAATGACAGGCCAGTCTCCTTAATGAACATAGATGCAAAAATCCTCAAGGTATTAGCAAACAAAGTATCAAATCATTAAAAATATCACGCATGCATCATGACTGAGTTGACTTTATTCCAGGGATGAAACATGCGTAAGTCTATAAATATAACATAATACAATACATAAATAGAAACAAGAACAAAAATCACTTGATCATCTTAGTAGATGCAAAAAAATCCTTTGACAAAATCCAACACCCTTCAAGATAAAAATCCTGACAAAAAAATGAAAGCAATTTATGACAACCCACTGCCAACATCATACTAAATAGGGAAAAACTGAAAGCTAAACTCAGCTGTAAATTTTACTGTAAAATCAGAAACAAGACCAGGGTGTCTACTCTCACCTCTTCTGTTCGATATAGTATTCAAAACTTTAGCCAGGGCAGTTGGACAAGAGAAAGATATAGAAATGATTTGAATAGGATGGGAAAAATACAGACTATTCTTACTTGCAGATGACATGATTGCTTACATAGAAGACCCAAAAATCTCCACCAAAAGACTCACAGAATTAATAAATTCAGCAAAGACACAGGATACAAAATCAGTACACAAAAACCAGTAATGTTCTTGTACCCCAATAGCGAAACCCCAAGAAAGAAATCAGGGAAACAATCCCATTCACAATAGCTTAAAAGAAAAAATTATATACCTAGGAATTAACCAGGGGTATAATGAAAACTATAGTACTCTGAAAAAAGAGATTGAAGAGGAAAAATGGAAAGGCATCTCCCGGTTCCTGGATAGGCAGAACAACATTGTCAGAATGGCTACGCTGCCAAAAATGATATATAGATTTAAAGCAATCCCATCAAAATACCAACAGTATTCTTCACAGAACTAGAAAAACAATCCTAAAATTTATATGGAACCCAGAATACCAAAAGAAATCCTGGGCAACAAGAGCAAAGTAGGAAGCATCACAATCCCTCATTGCAAGTTTTGTTACAGAGCTGCAGTGATACAGACAGCATAGTACTGGCACAAAAACACATGTGAATCATTGGAAAAGAACTGAGGATACAAAAACAAACCCAGGCCTATTTAGCTATGTGATCTTCAACAAAGGAACCAAAAATATAAACTGGAGAAAAGATTGCCTCAACAAATGGTGCTGGAAGAAACTGGTTATCCACATGCAGAAAAATGAATATAGACCCATATTTCTCACCCTGTACTAAAATAAAAATGGATTAAAGACCTAGATATAAAAACAAAAACACTAAATCTGCTGGAAGATAAAAATGACTCGAAGTCACAGGAATGTGCAAGGACTTTCTGAACAGAACCCCAGTTGCACAAGACATGGCACCAACAGTCAGCTTGTATCAGGTCAAATTAAACAGCTTCTGCAAAACAAAGGAAACAACAATGAATGGGAAATGAATTTTGCCAACCACACCTCAAATGGGGGACTAATACCTAGAATATATAAAGAACTAAAAAAATTAGATCTCCCCAAAGTAAAAAGCCAATCAAAAAAAAGTGGAAACTTGAATAGACACTTCTCAAAAGAAGTACAAATGGCCAATATGTACATGAAAAAACATCAGTAGCCATTAGAGAAATGCAAATCAACATTGAGATTCCATCTTACTCCAGAAACAATGGCTGTTATCAAGAAATCAAAAAACAAGTCCTGGCAATGATAAGGGGGGGAAAAAAGGAAACTTCTGCATTATTGGTGGCTTTGTAAACTAGTACAACCACTATGAGAATCAGTATATAGATTCCTCAGAACACTAACAATAGAAATTCATTTGAACCAGCTATACCTCTTTTGAGTATATCCCCAGAAGAGCTAAAAGACCTCATATTATATTCATACTCATGTTTATGACAGCACAACTCACAGTAGTTAAATCTTGGAAGTAGCCTGTATACCCAACAACAGATGAATGGAGTTTTTAAAAATGTATATATACGTAAGAGTAGTACTCAGCCATAAAAAGATAAATTTGAGTCATTTTTGGAAAATGGATGCCTTTTGAGTTCATAATGTTAAGTGGAATAAAAATAAGACACTGAGCATTAAATATCACAGGGTTTCTCTTCTAGAAACCCAAAGTATAAATAAACAACAAAGTAAAAGAAGATAGGAAATGGAGGTAGACTTTCTGGACATGAGAAAGGATCTGGGGGTAGCGGAGATGGGAGAGGAGAAGAGGAAGTAAAGGTTCAGGATGTGATAGGTATATGTACTAATTAATATCCCACAATATTCATTATCACAAACATACTAATACATTTTTAAAAGCTCATTAAACCTACAGCCATGCCACCCTGAATGCACCTGATCTTGTCCAAAAAGCTCATTAAGAGCAAAATAAAATTGACATTCCCTAACAGAGAAAAAACTCTTAATTCATTTATAAAAAGAATGAAAACTTTTTTCTATCTTCTGTATATCACATTTAGAACAATCTAAGAGGACATTTAAATATTGAAAACTGTATATTTTTATGAAGAAATTGAGTTCTTACCCTGCAAATTGTACTACAATAAAGATGGGGACAAGGACCCTGAGTCAGCAGAGTTCAATAAATGACTTGACTCACTCTCACTTCATTTTCTCGTCAGTAAAATGGTTGAGGTTATAATTCTACCTTTTGCCTTGATCTCAAGATTTTTTAAGATTAGATGAGTTAATGACTATAAAAATTTATCTGCAGTTATGTACCTCCTGTTGGTAAAGACAAAAATGCAACTCAATTTTGTCAAATCCCAAAAAAGTGCTTTGTCTTAACTAATATATATTACTATTCCTACAACAGATTGGTTAGGAGTAAAGTAATAGAGATAAACACTTAACATATTTGACATATAGTAAATATTCAATAAATGTAAGGAGTTGCCCTTCTTAGCTCTGAAACCAAAAGACATTGGAGATTTTGAGGCTATTGGAATTAAACCAGCACATTATAGATGAAGCTTTCTCATAGAATAAGGGCTTTCTTATAAAAGGTAGTTCTCATTATAATTAGATGGAACAAGGACTTCTGACCATTCAGTGTAGTGCTGAGGCCTCGATGCTATTTTTCACCAACATATACTGCTGGAGTCAGAGTAAGTGCCAGGAGTTTTTGGGTAAAATTGTTCTATGTTCCTCCAAATCCTTTCTGAACTACTGTCTTTTCTGCCCATCTCCATTGGATGAAATGTGCTGATCATTAGTAAGATGTCTTCAAATGTCAGAGCTGAAGAAAGGAAGGTTTTTATTTCACTGTTGAAAGAGGAGAAAGCACCTGGCCTTCTGAAAGGCTGTGTAGAGCAGTGGTGGCAAACCTACCCCACGAATGCCAACGAGGGCTGTTTGTATCTTTGCAAACTCTAAATGGTTTGTCTTCACTGGTATAGTTGAAAAATACTCATCTTAAAACCACTTTATGGTCAGTATACATCTAGAATTTTTCAAGTTTAGTCTTATGTTACACTTCTACCTAAGCTGCTTCAGGATTGCAGATATATCTGAAGTCTACAGAAAGGACCGATGAACTGCCATGGCCTGAGGAAGATATCAAGCAGAAAGCCCACCAAAACTGGGCAAGTACTATTTTTACCAACAAGGATATTAACAATACTGAATTACAGTATTTTTTTTCTCACAATTACTTGTAGGTGATACTTCTTAAATACCATCATTGTAGTTGAATGGACCCTTTGACACTATGTGTTAATCTTGGTGATATTGATATACTGTGATTTCTTTTTTTTTTTTTTTTTTTTTACCAGGCATCAAACTCGGGACCTTGCGCTTGCGAGGCAGGTGGCAGAACCACTGAGCTAATCCCCCAGCCCTGATACACCATGATTTCTTAAATATTTTCAGTCACATAAATATTTTATGTTTTGTTGTAACAGCGTACAGATGAAGGGAAAACATGATGTCACTTAAGTAAAATTTATTTGGATTTATAAATATTATGGTATGTGTTTAAAGAACAAGATTATGTTGAATGTTTTGACTCTTAAATATACAAATCCAAATAAGTTTATTTGAAATAATCTTCCTTGTAAATATTTCACAATTCACACAAAAATTAGTCTTTTACTGTTATACTCATAGTTCCTCTTGTGCAATTTTCTCTTAGTCCATTCCCAGAAGTTGCAGAATCAGTGCAGCAAGAACTGGAATATTATAGAGCACAAGAAGATGAGGTCAAACGACTTAAAAGCATTATGGTAAGATCATGTTTGCTTTCTAAGAATTACAGGGAAAAGAAAGGGTGTCTGCAGGGATAAAGAGGTTCACTTTTTTTCCTTACCTAAAAGTTTAAGGCCATTTATTGCTTTAATAATAGCAAAATTATACTCAGTTTATTCAAGTGATATTTTTTCAAAAAAGAAACCTAAATACTGAGATCAAAAAATTATAAAAGAATAATATGAAGTTATGATTTGAAAAAATAATGACTTTATTTTAGAGATAAATATTGTAATACTTCTCCTCCTACCATGCATGATCCAAGTTCACATTTCAGCTGTACTGTTTATTACTGTGTGACCTGTGACAAATCTCTGGGCTTGCTTTCTTATCTGAAAATGTCCGCTGATCCTTATTTAATTACTAAATCAATGATTTATTACACTAGTGGTGACTAAACCTTTTCTGTAACTGTCAAAAATACATATGCTTTTTGGGTATGGTGGCAGATCTGTAATCCTAGCACTCAGGAGGCTAAAGCAGGAGGAACTTGAATTTGAGGCCAGCTTGTGCTACCTATCTAGACATTATTTCAAAAACATACAAAAAACATATGCTTACTCCTCAAGAGAAGAATTGTTACTTTAGGTAACCATAATCCTATTGTTTATCAGTAATCTTAGAGATATGAGTTGATTTGTATGGTTGGGCCTGGTAATTATAAATATAGTTATTAGCACTATTTTTTTCTTCCCAGGGGCTAGAAGGGGAAGATGAAGGAGCCATAAGTATGCTTTCTGACAATACTGCTAAGTTAACATCAGCTGTGAGGTAAATATTCAGTATATCCTCTTTGAAGTCTTTGTGTTGATGAGGTTTATTTTGGAGGTTGAAAAATGGTTAATGTTTTTAATAATAGGAAATAGTAGATATAGCAAATATACCTGAACATAAAGAACTAAATTGTGTTTTTAATGTGTTCAACTAATTTCAGTTCTCTTTTAGATACAGCAAGACATTTGCTTCTTTTACCAATTAGAAAAAAGTGATGGCAGAAGAGTAAATATGGCATGGTTTCTCTTATGTGAGAAACCCCAAAGTATAAATAATTTAAAGAGCAAAATAAAAATAGATGATGGGAAACGGGGAAGTAGACCTTTTGGAAATAGGAAGGGAACCTAGGGATAAGGAGAAAGGGGAGATGAAGGGAAAGTAAAAAGAATTGAGATACAATATGCATATGTACCAACTCTACTCTGCATGATGAATGTATTCATTATGTATCACAAATATGTACTGATAAGTGATGATAGTAATTTCACTAGGAAAATAATGATAAAGCAGAGGAATTATTACTGATTTTCCTGTTGCTACTCTTATTTCACTAGTTGAGGGTTAAGCACTGTTTTCAGTACTTTGCCTTTATAGACAGAGGGAGATTTCGTGGTTCAGAAATGTGGGTACAAGCTTATTTCCAATAATCTGATTTTAGTTTAAACTTTGGAAGCAGAAAAAAAAATGGTAGAAATAATGATATTTGGGAGCCAGATTATTTTAAAATAAGAAGCATTTCACCTTTAATAAAGTAATACATGCTATATGTGGTCAAGTCTGCAGATTACATTCAGTGATAGACAGTTTAACTTGCCACTTTGACACTGTTTCAGTGTTCCAAGTTTCCCAAACACCAGGTGTGGGTTTCATTAAAATTTATATCATTTTCCTAGAAAATTTTATTATTAATTTTTAATGTTTTGGTCCTTATAGTTCTTTGCCAGAACTTCTTGAAAAAAAAAGACTTATTGATCTCCATACAAATGTTGCCACTGCCGTTTTAGAACATATAAAGGTAAATTTAACTTTTCCCCTGTAATATGACTTATATTTGTATAGGGTTTATATTTTGTAAGATGCTTTCATATTCAGTATCTCATTGAGCCCTCAGTGTAACATTTTGAAGCATAATTAAAATGTTCATTATCTAGACAACAATGTTACTTTCATTTGTTTTTGCAAATAAGGAAGTTTAAGAATCTAGAAAGATCAGTGATTTGCGCAAGAAAATCACTTTAATAAATAGAAGTTAGAATCTGTGATATTTCTGTTATGTTGCACTGCCTCAGTACCATTCTGTACATTTTATTCTACTAATAATAGACATATCTCACCATCAGTAATGTGGACTTAGAAATCTATCTAAAAATGTCTGAAATATCTCTTAGTAACATCATTTATATGACTTGGTTCTAATCTTTTTTGATTTTAGATGAATCCGTTAACATTAAAGCTCCTTACTATCTCTCACTGGACTGTGATTTTAAAACAAATGTATTAGGGTTTCTAAATATTGTTATCGTAGTTCTTTTTCTCACAAGCTTATTCATGATTATCCCATATCAGCTTTTTTAATCAGTCCTTCAGTATTCTACATCATTTATTCTTTAGACTTGGAGCTGAATTCCAATAGTAAATTGATCATATGCTAAGACTTCTGTGTTTCATTTGATATAATACATTTGAAACTGCTTAAAAAGATGAGTATAATTGCTGCCTATCAAAGATGTGGATGACATGTTGGATTTATGGAGATGAGACATACATGTCTTATTATTTTATTTAAAAAGCCGTATAGTGTTAGAAAGGACATAATAAATGATGTTGTGCAGAAAGGAACTTAAACCTGTGTAATTTCTATTAAGCCAACAACCTAAATCTTTGTTCCACATCTTGATATTGATACTTGATATTTTTCATGTCCTTATAAGAATAGAACTATACCTGTACAATCTATAAGTGATTCTGCTAATATTTTCACTTTCTTATTTAGCACCCCTATAAAATGCCAAAAAGCTGTTTTAATCTTTTACATGAGATCGTTGCCTACTAGAGAGATAACATATAAACCCAGATGAAATATAACACAGAACTTTATTGAGAATTTCCTTCCATAGGAGAAAAAACGCTTTTCTTATATGTCTAAATATGAAGACTATGAATCTAATAACAGAAAGTAAAAAAAGTTACTACCCTAAAACAAATAAAATGTAGGTTCTAGCTTATATCTATTAAACTATAATTATATAATTAGGACTCCATGATCCAGTTAGCAAACATCTTTTGAATACTTGCTCTGTGTCACATACTGTGCTTATTTATATAAGGTACTATTTGCAGACAGACGGTTAAAAACCAATTTGAGGGCCGGGGATTTAGCTCAGCGGTTTCGCCGCCTGCTGCGCAAGCTCAAGGACCCGAGTTCAATACCCGGTACCAAAAAAAAAAAAACAAATTTGATGCCAGGCAAATTGTGTGTTCTTATAATCCCAGCCTTTGAGAATCTAAGGCAGGAGGATCACAAGTTCAAGTACTAGCTGGGCAACTTACTGAGACCCTGTCTCAGAATAAAAAATAATAAAAGCGCTGGGGATATAGCTCAGTGCAGGGCCCTGGATTCAATCCCTAGTACCAGAAAAAAATAAAAATAAACACTACTAGGAAGATATGACAATTGTTAATAGTCATACAAGTGGTTTTTTTACTTATAGTTTGTTTTGCTTTTTTTCACTATTAAAAATTTATTAATTCTTACATTCTACTTTATGACCTCAGTTCTCATCGCTGTAATATCAGGAAAATGCTAAGCTCAGTCCCTGCTACCAAACTAAATTACATGACCTAAAATAACTATTTATTGTTCCTAGAATGTATTGTAGTAAGTCCTTAAGATACTGCAATAAACAAAACAGGTAAATTTTCTCTTCTCTTGGACCATATGGTGTAGTAACAAATAGTAGAAAACAAAATAACTTCATGTATTTAATGATATGAGAATAAGAACAGAGTTATGTGAGGTGATAAAGAATTGTTGAAAGGCCTGCTCTGGAGTTGAGTGCTTAAGAGATAATGCTTGAGTTGAGTCCAGAATCAGGAAAAAAAACAAGTTAGTGAAGATCTCAGAGCCAGCCATTCCAGGCAAGGGGAATAATAAGCACAGAGCCATTAAGACAACCACATTTAGTATGTTTCAGGACCTAGAAGACTAATGTGCTTTATTGAGAAAGAAGTAATACAAAAAAGAGTCAAAAAAGGTAGAAATTTAAGTAGGGAAGTCATTGAAAGTTAATTACATTATCTGACGTGTTTTAATCAGAGAGTGGACCAAGGAATCTGAGGGGTGGTAAATACTGGGAATGGAAGTGGAAGACAGATATTCTAGCTGTCTAGCTGAAATAGTGCTTTATAAAGTACAGTTTACTTATGAAATTCTTTGTGATGATTACTTATCGCTTTACACTAATGATTTTAAGTGAATTTTTCAGAATCAGTTTGTGATAATTGAGGTCATCTGCCTGAGATTATTTAATATTCCACCATGCTTGACCTAAATAATTCTGCTTAAAGACTTTGTGGTCTTATGAAAAAAGTGTTAAGAAAGATTCCCTTTTTCTTAATGCTATCTGATTTTAAAGTAACTGCTATTAAGTATACACTGTGCAGAAAGAAAGTAATGGCATGTATATAGGATACACTGTAGTTAAGTTGTTCTAGGAAACCAAATTAATATCAAGAGTTTTAAGATCAGATAAAGGAGCATATTTCAGTATTTACATGTAAATTGTGCTTGTATTTAGTAAGTCACATGTAGGAGTCAAGGTAACTCCTATTTCTATTGTAGAAATAATAATTTCTATTGTAGAAAAATTAGGATATTTTCTAGGAAGAGTCTTTTAATGTTGACCATCTTTTCAGAGCTTCTCTTTTCCCTTGTCAAAATGAGCACATAAACTTCATTGTTTTCATCTTATTACTCTTAGTTGTAAAATTTCTTCTTAAGAGTTTTCCATGACTATTAAATTTCCAACTTTATAGCATTTACTTTCAAATGGCCTCCTTATTTTTCACATTAAGTTACACCATCTACCTCTGGCTATACTGTTAACATAATTAAAGAATTCTCTGTAATGCCTGCTCCTTTATCAGAATTTCTTGACCTTTTTTGTAAATACTTATTCACCTAACCTAAAAATAAATTTTTTTTATTAACAAGAACACTGTATCTTCTCATGCAGAGTTCTCAGAGCATTTCTCTTGATATTTGTTTTTACTGTAGTTTAACACATTTCTTCTTTAAGGATGCTAAAATTATAGCTGCTTTTGATAATTTTCTTAGATAATTTTCTGAAGCAAGTATAAGAAGAAATTAATCTCTTCAGAAATTCTGGGAGCTATGTAATTGATATTTTGATGGAAAGCTAAAAAAAGCACCAGTTTGGCTACAACTTTGGCAAATATTCTCTGTTTCATTTATTGATACTCTGAGGAGTATAAATATCAAATCAGATAACAAATCTGGCTTTGGCAGCTAACTTTGGTCTAATAAATTGAAAAGTGAGTTGTTGATATTCATTTATTTTGAGTAATCTGTATTTTTAAATCTTAGTGGTACTTTCCTTTCTAATGCACATATGACTTTCCCATTTGCTGATTGTTTGGAAATGGCTTCTGGGATTACTCAATTTGGAGACAGCATATTTTAATTGTACTTAGCCAGTCTGCATAGTTTGAGTACTTGTTAGCACCAGATACCTAGGAAAAGGAAAAAAAGCATACTTGCAAGGAATAGTAAGTAAAAGAAAGAAATAACATTAGATGTTCTCCCTGATTCTCTCATCTAAGAGGAAGAACTATTAAACATCTGAATGTTCCTTCCAGACATAGATGGCGGAGAATAAACTATTAATGAGCTGTGTGGCGGAGGACTTGGTTGTTAATAGTTGCTCACTTGTGATTTGCTGTGGAGAAAGTTGAGAGGGACTGAATGGAATCTAAAGACATCGTGGGATGAAGGGACGAGGTCTACACTCAAAACAAGGCTTACCCCTTGTTGGCAAAGCTAGCTTCTACCTAGAGCTCCTTCTAATGAGGGTTAATTTTTCTATGGCTTAACTGCTTTATCCTTCTTGGGGAAAAATAGAAACTCTGAATTGTCTCCACCTGGTCGGCACACTCAAGCAACTGATGCCCCGTTCCTCTATGAAACATAGTAAGTAGCTGAAGGCCATATTATTGACCTGCTGACTCCTCATAGCTAGTACTTCTTGTTATCCTTTCCTGCTCCTTTAGGTTGAATTTTTTTACTCACCTATAGATTATCTGTATTTTATTTATGTCAGTTGTAAGAGTATGAAAATCTGTGTCTATAAAACTAAATTGCACATCTTAGACTCAGTAAAGGGCCAGGGATTTACCTCAGTGGTCCCACCGCCTGCCTCGCAAGCACAAGATCCTGAGTTCTATCCCCGGTACCAAAAAGAAAAGAGACTCAGTAAAGATGGTGATTGAAATATTGTCTGAATTACTTTGTACATAAAAAACCATAAAAGACTGAAAATCTTGGAAAATAATATACAATACTCCAGTTTCTTGCACTGTCTAAATTTTTAGTTCTGCCTCAAAAAAAATTGAACTTAGAAATTGTAGGTAATTTCTGATAAGTGTGCTTTATGCAAAAAAAATTTCAATTAATATCTATTTGTATTACATTAAAAGTTTTAAAAAATTAAATTCAGTCAAAAAAAAGAATTTAAAAAATAAATTCAGGCAGTAAACTTCTATACTAAAAAAAAAAAAGCGATCGTAGACCTACCTCAGTGCTTGACAGACAGCTGTACATTTTAGGTTTGAATTAAAAGAGAATATTTAAAATGTATATGTGTACAGCATAAATCCTTTGTTAACCGTCCTTATAATAACTGCCTTTAATCACTGCTACTCCAAATCACACTTGAGTTTTTTTACTGTACTAGAAACAGAACAGTTCTTGGATTTGTGCTGATCTGTTTTAAAAAT